GATATTTTGTAAATTCTCCGAAAGTGAGGTCTGGTTTTTGTGGAATATGGATGAATAACTTCATTTTCTTTGATGAAACAATTTATTACAAGAACTTAAAGAGTGCAAATATTGTTTTTTTTCTTCTAAATCAAAAAAATTTAAAATTCAAAAATGTTAAATATTTACACGTAATATCCGTTCCACATTGCTGTGAACAGTCAAGGTTAATTGTGCAAAAACTCTTTTGTTTATTTAGTGGCTAAGCAACCGTATCACTCAAATGAACAAAATGTAGTGGTATTTTTATTAATACCTGGTAACCAAGCAAGATATAAATGAAAACGACCTTGAGTTCTATAGCAATTTCAAACCAATTTTACCCATACTATGTAAATCATTTAAATAAAGAACAATTATTAAACTATAATATCTGTTCTAGTTTATTTTTTGATTTTTAAAATGTTTTAAAAGACAGTAAACGTCAATTACATTTAGTTTTGATTTGTAACCTCTAATTTTGTAAAATTATTCCAACACATTACTTTTTAAAAGAGTATAGGTAATAAGAACTTCGTTTATTTTAAATAAGAAAGCAAAGAAATTAAAAAAATATTAAAAATACAGGATGCGCCAGAACTCGCGCCCGATAGAAAAATGCTATGTGACGTAAGATGGAACATGGAAAAAATGTTAAAAAAATTCTGTCTATAAAAATTTCAAAGTTATGAGAGTTTAAATTTTGCATTTTGACTCTATTTATGTCTGTTGGAAACATAATTTTCCAAGTTTTTTTGCTACAAGCTATTAGAAGAGGAAATAAGGAAGCTGTATCCTAAATTATAACTCTGTTTAATGTTATTTGTGGCTTTGATTGGCAAATTCTTTGTACTTTTACTAAATAATTATAAAAAAATATACAAGATCATCAGTACCATAATTAAATAGATATAAAAAATGTCAAATGTCAATTTTTTTAAGAGACAGTATTTTTCTGTTTCTGGTATCTTATCTTACTCAAAATTTTTCTCAGAGGCGCAAGTTCTGACACACCTGTATACCTAGAGTAACAGAAGAATTACATTGAATGTAATTTAATTTATTATTTGAAATTGGGTTTGAATTTTAAGTTTATAATCTTAATTTTTAGTTTAATAGATACATTTTGAGTTAAAAAAAAATGTATTTGAAAAAAGTAACAAGTAGGTACTAGATCTCTCCATCTTTTTAGTTTTTAACATTTCATCGTAGATTCTAACAATTTATTGTAGTTTACAAATTAGTTTAACTTTAAACTTGACTTCAATTAGAAATGTACAAATGTGTTAAAACGTCATGTTATTTACCAGCAATTTAAAATTTTTATTTTGTACTTAATGTGAAAGAGTGTTTTTATCAACTTATTTCAGTAGATGAAGTAGTCTTTTATAGTCTAGTGAAATAAAGTAATTTTTATCTACTGTTTATATTCAAGAAATTTTGGTAGGTGAATACAAAATAAAACGAAATATACACGACGATAAAGATTGTTTATCCACTCGTGAAAAAAGTCCACTCGCGAGTTTGTCACTCGTAAACTTAACCTTTTCACTCGTAGAAAACAATTTCTTTATCGTCTTATATAATAAATAACTATAATTTTTAAACTTAGAATTTTTTAGATTAGGCTTTTTATCGTATCTATATTTATTCTAGTTTACAAATCATTTTAGAATCAATTAGGTATTTACATACATATTTTTTTTGCGACTTCGTCTACGTATAAACAATAAAAAAAATCAACTCTTCTTCCTACTTTTCTTCTGCAACAACTGAGTGATTTTGCTCAACACTCATCATTAATTCATGGAAAGTGGCTGATTTGCAATTTTGCAATTTTGCCATTCGGACAAATCCTTTTTATTAGCATCCTTCCCATACCAAACAAGTACCGACATCAGAAATAAGTAAAACATGGTAAATCTCAATTCGAAAAAACCACCAGCAAATTAAAGCAAAGAAAACTGGTTATAACATAATAAGCGGGGTTATTAAAACATATGAATAAAACATAACCAGATAAGATCACGTTCTGGTATAAAATATATTTTTTTGATTTTGAATGATTTCGAATTGATTTATGAGTAAGTGAAATAAATAATTTAGGCGTTTTTCCCGTCACTACAACCATAATTATCAGTCACTATGGTGGTTAATTAGAAGTAAATTGATACTAGCACTTCCGCTCACGTGATTTTCCTCCCCCTATAATAATAAATTATAGATTTTGAAGGGGCCATTTAATCACATGTGGTGGTGACTAAAATTCTATTAAATACAATGAGTAAAAGAAGAAGAATCACAACACTTTCTATAATTATTAGTACTATTATAGACGGGAGACATATAAGGCGTCGACCCACACACATCTCGTTAATTTTTTTTTTAATATGAGAATATGTTTCCCGATATAATCATAATTTAATAAGCTTTTAATTCCATCAACATATAATTTCAGTCTTTATACCATAACCATTTTTCCATTTTGTTGAAAACCATTCCCCGCCATACATCCGGTGTTAGGTTGGAGGTTTTCACCTGACTTATAATTCACCTGCTCTTACTAAACAGTCACGCTTTGCTGTTCGCAACCGCCACAGCAAGAGTAAAACAGTTTCAAAGTTGAGTTTCGCGATTTTTCGGATGTGATATTTTCATCGAAAATGCCAGTGGGACTTGTCTATGATTTTGCTGGGTAAGTGATGATGATTCATTCGAGGACACTGATCCTTAATTTGAAATTGAAATAAATTCATTCGCATTAATGGCTTTTAAATAATTGCTATCATTTTAATTGGTGTTTGTTATTGCAATTTACGTCAATGTGTTAATGCAGTGGAGTATTTTACAGGATTGGGTGCTATGAAATTACTGTAATTAGAGGTGAAGCAATAGTTCATGCGATTCGTGCAAACAAGTGCAGGAATTTGAACTGCATTTACCTAGTTTGTTGTTATTTATTATGGTAATAAAGAGGGACACTTGTTTGAGTTATTATGAATTAATTAAATAAAATGACTCAGGGAGAGTCGGAAAATTACAGAATAATGGCAAAACATGACATTTTATACAAAAATACCTATAATAATAAATTGGATAATCATCTTTAATTTTTAGTTAATTAAAAACAAAATCAAGAAATAATTCACAGACACTAAAACTATGTATGTATTTGGATCAACTTGCTATTGAGTCTTTAGAAAAAGTGGTGTCAAAATGTGACTTTCTTAAAAACGAAATTAATTTTATAACTAAATTTTTTTTGTTTACTTTTAGTTTCATGTTTTTTTTCTTGTTTATTTAAATTTGTAATGAATTTTAAAAGAATAAAAATTTGAAAGTATAATTTATTTTCATTTTAGCATCCAAATAAATTCTTTAATACATAATTGTATTTTTGCACTAAGGCACTAAGATTACATACAGTATGTCCGAAAACAATATCAAAAGATTTCGGGGTCAAAATAGAAATATGTTCCTATGGACATAGGACATAGGAAGCTAGAACGATTTCTTGACCTTATACAGGTGTTCCGTTTTTATTGTTACAAATTTAAACAGGTGACAGAATATTCAATTTTAAGAGAAAAGTTTCCTATGCTTTTTTTAATGTTTTTTTTTGTCAATATTTCAGAAACCATTTTAGATAAAATTACAAATTTTGGTACAGCAGATAGCTTTTATACACTTAAACGAATTCAAAGATTATTTATTCTGAAATAATGAAAAAACCTATTAAAAAAGCAGGGTATAGCTCCTTTATAGAGAATGTTGCGACAAAAGTTTCCTATGCGTTTTTTAATGTTTTTTCTTCAATATTTCAGAAACCATTTTAGATAAAATTACAAATTTTGGTACAGCTGATAGGTAACTTTTATACACTTAAGCGAATTCAAAGATTATTTATTCTGAAATAATGATAAACCTATTAAAAAACGCTTCTTTACAGAGAATGTTTCGACACATGTTTATGGAAAACTTTTGTCTTAAAATTAAATATTCTATCATCTGTTCAAATTTCTAACAATAAAAAAAGAACACCTGTATATAAAAATAACAACAGAAAATAACGAAAACGCGTATTCCGTAAAAAAATTGCGAAAAACGTTTCCAAAACTAAAATTTTTCTTTAACGGTTCCTGAAGTATTTGAATATTGCTCGTCATTTTGCTCCCTTAGGAAGAATTCTCGGCCATATATGCTTAGGTCTATAGGAACTTTTTTCTTATATTGTCTTAAAAAAGTTTAACGTTTTTTACACCACACCCTGTATTGGTATTAGTATTTTATTCAAATTGCAGTTGAGTCTTTAAAAAAAGTTAAACACTATTTTTATAGCTAAAATATTTTTTGTTTACTTGTAGTTTAGTTTTTTTTAATGATTAAATTTCAAAAGAAGAATTCAAAAGAAAGTACGATTTATTTTCATTTCAGTATCCAAATAAATTCTTCATTTAATCGTTGCAACAAAAGATAACATCAATATTAAATTTGATTTCTTAGAAACCGGGCGAATTTTGAAAAAAAACAAATTTCAAGTCCACAAAAAATAAATCGACTTCGTTTTGTCCAAACATGAACAAAAATAATCGAAATTCGGCTCAAGATTAAGATACGCGAGGCACAATACCGCTCCACAATGAATAATTTTCTGCCCATTGAATAATAAGATTCAATTGAAAGCATCCGTCCATTTTGTTTTTGCTCCAGTGATGATCCAATTAGAGCAATTAGATTTTTACGCACAATCTAAAATTTTACAAGGGTCACTCACCGACGCCGTAATTATCCCCCATTTGCAATAACACATGACGGTGGAGCATAAAAACGTAACAATATGTATTTGCTTTCTCTCCAATATGCTCGCGTGATGATTCGAATCATCTCATTTGCTTTTATCGATCGACAAAGCCATTCGCAAACATATGGCATATGTGGTTGCATTTCTATCTTCAAACAATAATTTGGTTTTTTCTTTTCAGTGAAGGTTTATTCACTGGGCCGGAGAGTAGTGTCCCGATCGATTACGCCAAGGTAAGTACAAAAGAAATTCTAAGTGTGATAGTGACAAATGTGAGGCATATTTGAGCTGTTAAACGTGACGTGACAAAAGAGACTTCAACGGATGATCAAGCGACGAACCCGAGCTTTAATAAATCTCTCAGATATTTCAAGTAGTCGCTTTAAATCAGGCCTCTTCAATCTTTCAGACAAAGAATTATAAATAAGCGGTGAGATAGGTGAAGAAACTTATTGCCATCGTAAACCAAAATACAGGGTGTTTTGTAAAAAGACAAAAAAATGTCAAGTATAAAATAAGGGAACACGAAAAAAATTCTATCTAAATTTTTTTTTAAGTTATGAGAGTTTAAATATTGCACTCTCACTCTATTTATTTCTGTTCAAAAAATATGTCAAAAATTTATGACAGAGAATTTTTTAAACATTTTTTTATGTTCCTTGTATCTCATCTTACTTAGCATTTTTCTTTTTTTTTTGTTTTTTTTACAAAATACCCTGTATGTTTAATGTGTATTTAATTTGAGAAATGAATTCTCTCATTTCTGTAATTTTTATAACCGGCATAAAATTAAGACAATTAAGTAAACGCGACGTCCGTGGAAGTTAAATGGGGGTTCTGCCATAAACGCAACTCATTGACTCAAGAACCTCATAATTTATTATTAAACCCAGCTGGAGCTCACTTTAACCCTTCATATAATTGCTCTTTATTGCTACTTTCTTGCCATCTGGTCCTCCCTCAAGGGTGTCTTAAACCGATCGACCACTTCGAAATTCCATCCCGGAACAATAAAGACAAACAAAGGAACATATTTCAAACACGTGCACCAATTTCCGTTACATTTGACCCTCCTTCGGCGTAAATTAAGGCTCAAAACAATCCTTGAAAAAATGTACAATGTTCTGTGAAGCCCTGGACACGGTCACATAATTATAATAAAAAGGCAAGGACTGGACGAGACGAGACTGTCTCCGCATAGGAATGTGTAATTCGCCGGAAGTTGCCTACACGGCCATGTTCACACGATGCGTTTTTCCAACAAGTCGGAATTTTTAATCGCGAAGTACAGTGTTGTTTTGCGGTGGGGGGTGTGCAATGGTTCATCCCTCATCTTCCGGCGTGTGCACATCTGCTGGGCATTGACAGACCAGATGGTACAAATTTTCTAAAGATGGCCTTGAGACCGGTTGGGGATCGACAGGGCTCCTATTCGAAAAATTGGGCCGATTTATGCATAACTTATTTGTTTGTTTAGATAGCACCCTGTTTATTTCAAATATTGATTTTTGATAAATTTTCACACTCTCATGTGATGTTGAAGTGTCGTAAATTTACTGTAAACAACTGGAATTGACATAAAATGACATGAAAAAAATTGATTCTATTTGCAATTGCAATTATGTTAATTGTTGCTAATTAATATTATCAATAAAATCAACTGTTGTACAAGAAGTAATTACAGATTAAGTGTAAAAATAAAGATAAAATAGTTTATTTTTCTTTAGCTTTTTAAAAAACATTGTATGAATGTTGTACAACACACGTATGAGTACTTATACAAGGTGTTTCAGAACTTGCACCCCAGAGAAAAATTTCAAGTAAGATATTTTAACATTTATTTTTTGGCATTTGACATTTTTTATGAATCGTCTATAAAGTTGACAAATTATTTATACTACAAAAATCAACTGCAAAGGCTTGTTATTTAAATAACTATTTACCCTTTACAACTTCCCTTACTTTGTTGTATTAAATTTCAAAAAAGGTTTCTTATTTTACAAAAATCGGCAAAACTATTCGTCAGTTCGTTTGGTTTCCGAAAATTACAAGTTACACAGAACTATTTTTTTTTTTAAAGAAAGCTATACAATCAAACTTTCTAAGTAAAACATGGATTGGAATTTTTTGAAATGATAAGAATAAACAAGACATTTTTTTTACGTAATTTTACGTTGATATTAAAATAGCTATTTATGCAACAAGTTGCAAAATGAGCGTGTTTTGCACTAACGTGCAAAAAGTAGCCATTTTGCATCATACAAGATTTTTTCCAACTTGATTGTGAAAAACATAGGGATCAAATTCGAATTTTAAATATGTGAATAATATGTCAATAATTTTCCAAAATCATACTATTGTCGGGGCGTTGCTATGAAAATACTCTTATTTGTTATCTTTATGTCACACTTTTTAACACTAGTGATAAAATTAAGCACATTTGACAACTAAAATTACATATCACAATGGTTGCTTTTCACAAACAAATTGTAAAAACATGTTTCCTTTTGCTAGAAAAATTATTTTGATAAATGGTTACAAAAATTTAAAAAATGTGAAGTTTAATGTATGTAGCGAATCTAGACGTTTATTTTATTTATTTATTTATTATAATTCAGGTGAGCTAAACTTACTCCGTATAACATAATATTTAGGTATTCTATTCTATCCGTAAACGTTTTCGGATTGAGAGTAAAGAGCAACACTAAAATTGACATAAAATGTTTATTAATTTAACTATTGTATGACTAGTGCAGTTAGTAGTGCAAAATGTCGAATGCTGATGATCTAGAAGATACCTCTCTAGAAATTGCTGAAGCAGCAAATAATACAAAAAAGAGACAACATTAGTAAAAGTAAAAACATTTTGGCGCAAAATAAAATTTTTACACCATGAATGAAAAGTAAAAATTTTTCTGGTTAAGTCATAAAAGTGGTCACTTTTCTTACGTTTGCGCATAAAATCAATCAAGTGTTTTAATCTATGCTAGCTACTGAATGAATCAGCTAAGATGACTTCCCTGGTCCATGTTATGCCACAGGGAAAATTACAAATTAAATGTAAATAAAATTTTCAATGTTTATTTTGCTGTAAAAATAAAAAAAACATTGAGTTCATTGTGTCTTATTGCAACAGATTTTTTTATTGTAATATCTTTAAAACAGAAAGATAAATTTGACTGACAATCTTGCAGAATCACAAAACATGTTTTCGTATCAACACGCTCAAATCTGAGTTTTTAAAAAGGAAATTTTGTAATCTTGTAGTTATTAAAAACGCCGAATTGGGTAATTTTAATCTAGTGGGTGTTTAAAAAGTACCAATTTTGAAACTGTGGGAACTGCATTTTATCAGTAAAAAAATCTCTGTAACAGTATTCAAACTCAAACATTTTTTTTAATTCTATCTAAAACCGTATTTAAAATTCTTGATCGCCCCGTAGAGAAATCAGACAAAATAGAAACAATTATGTTGTATATTTTACAATCAGGTAATGACGAGAAATTCGTCTCGAGTGGGAAGAATCCACGAAATCAACAACTTTCGGTAATTTCGTTGTTATTTGAACCAGTGAATGGATAGGTACGATGAAATTACCAAACCAGCGACCGGATTTGACCAATTTACTAAAAGTAGTGCCACCAATTTGTACTTGTCTATTCAAAGTCAAATCCAGTGAGAATCTTAGAAAAAACTGTTTGAAAATTTATGAAAGCTCGACAACACTCGTTCATCACCACAGTGTTTACCCGTTTTATTTTCAACAGCTGTTTTCACCCTCTTTACAAATAATTTGAGACCTCTTTTTACCCTGCCTTGCTACCGAAATTAGCAGTTATTTTAAGTGGTCTCACATTACATCCTACCCTTTTATAAAAAAAAAAATCATCCTTGCTCCTCACATATCTTCACATAAAACGGTGCACAGAAACAGTTCCATTCTTCAAGTGCCTTTGTGTTGAAGTAATGATTCATGCAGCGGCATATTTGACCCGTAAGTCACTCGAGATTTTTTCCAATTATTGAGCTTTAAAGCTCTTTCATATTCATATTCAAATCGAAATCTGATATCAATTCAAAATTTTCCACAAAAGAATTCCGAGTCTTGTCTCTTGTTTATTTAAGAGCTTAGACTCTGATCCTATCTCGAAATAAAGTGTCCCAGCTTGATTGATATGTACACAGCCCTCTTGTCGTTTTTTTCCGCCAGTATTGATATGCAAAAGAGTGATAATTGGAAGACATTAAACTAGATGAAGATGGTTTCTCCTTTTAGCGAACAAATATGTACAGCAAATTAGTGATAGCAGAGTTAACGCAATTATCACAAGCTTGTGAATAAGTAGAGAGGTCGTTCGAAGACGTTCCAAACCCGTTCTTGTAGTCGCAAGGACGTTGGTCTAGCAATATATGCATTGCTATCAGCGATCTTTAGCATTTGCTGTTTCTGTTTGTTTCTGGGTTAGCCCAAGACGCATCGACTTGAGGTGACTCCAATCGCTACTCGAAACAAATGAATGACACGTGACGTCATCCTTGGAACGGAATTATGCCCATTAGTGCCAAAAATTTGGCCAGGAAATGTCAACAACGACTTGTGTCAATATTGTCAGATTTTGCATTCACCTTTCGGAGAATTGTCTTGGCAAAACGATGTCACTAACCTTATACTTTTAATTTTCTCCTTCCTCTTGTGTGACTTCTCACGATGTCTGGGCGACACATTTATGTAAATATGAGATGCAGTTACTGTGCTAGTACCACCAATATTTATAAGGACCACATTAGTAATTACAATAATTTTGATTTATGAACCATTGGGTCCTACCTATATCCGTTTTGTATGAAAAATTACAACACGAGTTGTTTTATTTTATAACCGACATATTTAATTGTCGCATTTGCATACACTGCTTGTTAATGAGTTATTTTCATGGTTATCTAACAATGTGCAAAAGTTACCTTTCGTTTAAACCGGAAACTTGGATTTTATTTGCAATTGTTCTTTGCGAAAATTTATTTTCTATTCTATTCGAGTTTATAAAATCTGATACCGATTGTATAGACGAGAATCTTTCTATTTTCTAAATGAAGCTAAAACAATCCAAGCGATAGTTTGTCAGATGGCATTCACTTCCAAGCTTATTTTTTGGCCTTAATAAAAAATTATTGTCACAAGTAGTCTACTATCCATAAGAAAAAACATTCTATCTTGTTATTTTTATATTGTAA